TGGCTGACCTGCTCCCTATCAGTATATAATTGGCAATATGGTAAAGATGAAGGTCTATCATTCTACATGATCACAGGGTTACTCTCACAGAGATGGTTAGTGGCCACTTAACCAGAGGATCATCATACTTCAGGTCTGGTGAGAAGTTCAGTCTTCATAATAACCTTAGCTGCTGCAGGAATTGAACCCAAGATGTTACCATCATTCTGCAATGCAAGCCATCTGCCCAGCCAACTGAGCTAACCAATCTCCTTCTTCAAACCCAAAACTTGCATTGACCAGTGGAGGAGTGGGGTAAGTGAAGGCATTAGACCATGATCATCAACATTATATATGTCGTGACTTACCTGTTCATGTGTGTTGTGGTCTGGTGAAGTGGTCAGTAATTGGCTTTGTTCTCTTGCTGGCTCTTTGCTGGAGTGTGCTGTCACTTTCTTGGGGCTCACAGAACTTTCTTTCCTATTATCGCACTCATAGCCTATAACTCGAAGCTGAACAGTCTCTGAGCCCAACAGTGGTACCATGTGGAACTCACTCTTCAACACGTTTTTCTGTGCTGATAATACAGAATAAACACAAAACATTTATTTTCAGAATTTTTCAGAAATAGCATACCTTTATACAACCCTTAACAATTGGCTTATCATTTCCATTGATAATCATCAATGTGGCGCTTATCAGCTTTCTAACTACATTAAATTAGTAAAATCTATATTCATCATTCTGCCACTACAATCACACTATTTTCAACCAAGCTATATTAGGGTCTGAATATTTCCAGGCTTCAGATAGCAATATGTGCCACAGTGAAGAAGGCATTTGGTAAGCTTGTCTTTATTGGTCAGTGCATTGAATAGAGGAGTTGGGAGGTCATGTTGCGGCTGTACAGGACATTGGTTAGGCTGCTACTGGAATACCATGTGTAATTCTGGTCTCCCTGCTATAGGAAGGATGTTGTGCAACTTGAAGGGGTCCAGAAAAGATTTACAAAGATGTTGCCAGGGTTGGAGGGTTTGACCTACAGGGAAAGGCTGAACAGACTGGGGCTATTTTTCCTGGATCGTTCAAGGCTGAGGGGTGACCTTATAGAGGTTTATAAGATCATGAGGGGCATGGATAGGGTAAATAGACAAGGTCTTTTCCACAGGGTGGGGGAGTCCAAAACTAAAGGGCAAAGGTTTAAGGTGAGCAGGGGAAAGATTTAAAAGGGATCTAAAGGGCAACTTTTTCATGCAGAAAGCAGTGTGTGTATGGAAGGAGCTGCCAAAGGAAGTGGTGAATGCTGGTACAATTACATCATTTAAAAGGTATCTGGACGGGTATATGAATAGGAAGAGTTTAGAGGGATATAGGCCAAATGCTGGTAAATGGGACTAAATTAATTTAGGATATCTGGTCAGCATGGATGAGTTGGGTCAAACGGTCTGTTTCTGTGCTGTATATCTCTATGACTCCATCTGCCAAGCAGTGGCCATCAGAAATATGAAAATAGGCAACTGAAGACATGAGTCGAACAATTATAATAATATATCATTCCTGTCAACCAACATCTCTGGCATTGAAAATTAACATTGAAATTTTAAAAATTCATTTTCAGGATGTGGGACAAGTAAACATGTCAGACTGCACACCCCCCCAACTCAATCTTGTCGAGAATGTCGAATAGCATGAGTCACATATGTGCTTACTTATGCGGATAATGATGCTTCAGGTTTTAGAGATTCAATCACATTTTTTTCATGTAATTTAATCAATTAAGAAGTCAAGCTAAGAATACATCAGCCTGCCACTATGGGGCTTAACTAGCAACACTAAAGTCAAGAGTTCATAAAGCCACTATGGATTCAACAGGCCTTAATTTGTTCGCCAACACCAGAAATATTACCATGGATTATTGTAAAAGTCCACTAATTAAGAGTTGTACTATTAGGTCAAGGTGATAAGGGCTCCTAACTATTATAAACCCATTAATGTTCTTCAGGGAAGAGGGTGGGAGAAGCAGTGACCTAGTGGTATTATCACTAGACTATCAATCAGAAACTCGGCTAATGGAATTTGAATTCAATAATAATCCAGAATCAAGAATCTACTGATGACCATAAGACAATTGTTGGGGGGAAGAAAAACCCATCTGGTTTACTAATGCCCTTCAGGGAAAGAAATCTGCCATTCTGACCTGACCTGGTCTGGCCTACATGTGACTCCAGGCCCACAGCAATGTGGTTGACTCTGAATTGGCCTAGCAAATTACTCAGTTCAAAAGCACCTAGGGACAGGCAATAAATGCTATTCAGCCAGCAACACCCACATCCCACACATGAATAAAAAAAATAGTTTGCCATCCCTATCTGCATGCCCATTTTGTCTCTATTCCCTCAAGTAAATATTTAAAGAAATAAGCATCTACATGTGATTCATCTGCCAACATGAAGGAGTTGTACCATTAGGTCATGGTGATAAGGGCTCCTAACTGTATAAGCAAGCACCAAGAATCCCGCTTGACACTTTGTGTCAACTCTAGCATTTTATAACATCATAAAAGCCAAAAGAACTGCAGATGCTATAAATCAGGAACAAAAACTAAAGTTACTGGAAAAGCTCAGCAGGTCTGACAGCATCTGTGAAGAGAAATCAAACTTAACATTTCGGGTCTAGTGACCCTTCCTCAGAACTGAGGCCCCAGTTCTGGGGAAAGATCACTGAACCCGAAACGTTAACTCTGATTTCTCCTCACAGATGCTGCAAGACCTGATGCACTTTTCTAGTAACTTCTGTTGTTGTTTCTATAAGATCATGGCTGATTCTACATTCCCAATAATCTTTCATTCCCTTGGTAATCAAGCATCTATCTATCCCTGCCTTAAAAATATTTAAAGATTCTACATCTAAAACCTTTGGTGCAAGGAAATTCCAAAGGCTTACAAACAGAAACAACATATCTTCATCTCTGTGTTAAATGGACATCCCCTTATTTTAACCTCTGACTCCTTGTTCTAGATTCTTCTGCAAGAAACATCTTTTCAACATCCACTCAGTCAGGATATTATCATACCATGCATTAATTTATATGGGTGTGTCACAAAACAGATCCTCTGGACAGAGCGAGCAAGTGTCCATGCCATATTATTATGGCCGCAAGACATGAATATAATAGCATGAAATATTAAAATATTAAACTATCATCAATTAGCAACTTTCAAGGAGGATAGCAACTAAAAGGACTCATTTTTCTTTCCGGAAAGTTGTTTCCAAGACATTTCGTAATAATGCATTCAGATTCACTGTGGCAATTCACTATGTTAAAAAAGATGCCTAATTTCCTTGCCAGATTTTCGCTCATTATCTAAAATCTGTGCCCATTAGGTTATTGATCCATCCACCACCAACATCAGTTTCTGCTTATTTGCTCCATCATAACAGTAGTTAATTATGGATCAAATTGTGCACAACATGTATCAATATTAACAACAGCAACATTGGTTACATATCTGATCATGAATGTGAATTGCCAAATACGTAATCAGATACATTTCAAAAGAGTACTTAGAATGATATTCATTTAAGTCATAAAATCATGCTAGTACAAGGAAATTTCTTTTGGGGAATTCTGCAAGACTGCAAACAATCTTCCCCCTGCTTCTAATCTGTGTACTAATCAGGTGTGGATAGGGTGGATAGTCAGAGTCCTTTTCCTCAGGTTGGAAATGTCAAATAATAGGAGGCATAACTTTAAGGTGAGAGGAAGAAAGTTAAAATGAGATGTGCGAGCCAAGTGTTTACGCAGAGGGTGGTAAGTGCCTGGAATAGTGACAGAAACAGATACGACGGCAGTGTTAAAGAGGCATTCAGACAAACACATGAATACCAGGGAATAGAGAGACACAGACCATGTGCAGGCAGAGGGGATTAGTTCATGGTCAGTACAGACACAGTGGTCACAGTCACAGTCATCCTATCTATTACCCAAAGTCTTAAATCCGTGCTCCCTTGTCCTTGTATGATCTGCTAAGGGGAACACTTTTCCTTTCTCTCTTTTATCTAAAGTTGTCATGTTGCTCTATATCTTTATCAAACCCGCCCTCAGCCTGCTTTACTGCAAGGGGAAGAGCACCAGATTCTTCAGCCTAAACCTGTGGTTAAAATCTGTCCATGTGGGAAATCTACACCTGCAAGAACCCTTACATTCTCCCTGAAATTTGGTGACCAGACAGGCTGCAAAACTCTCGCTGTGGCTTCACCACAGCTTTATACAAGTTCATTGTAAAATTCCTGTTTTTTTTTGTACTCAATGCCTCTATATGAAGACCAAGATCCTCATGCTTTGCAGGCCTCTCTCAATATGATCTGCCACTTTCAAGGACCTATGCATGTGAACCATCAGGTTCTCTGTCTCTACACATATTTAGACCTATGTAAATTAAATTTAAATTGCCTGACTCTATCCCCATGCCTATGACATCAACTCAAACTTCTCTGTCTTCAATTCATCTGTCACCTGTTTGCCCATTTTGCTATCCTATTGCCACACTTCAAAATTTGGTATCATTTGCAAGTTTGTAATTTTACTTTGTATTCCAATATCTTAATCACATATATAAGAGCAGTGGTTCCTATGTGTGACCCCTGAAGAACGGCACTGTTTACCATCTCCCTTTTAAGCAACAAACATTTGCCACAACTCTGTCTTTAAATCAATTATTAAATCCAATCTGACACTGCCCTTTCTTTCTACAAGCTTTTAATCTGATGAAATAGTGCACATAATCTGAGAAAACAACATGGAACTTAGTTTTATTCATTAATGAAACGTAGGCATCATTATTTATTGTAATATTTATCGCTCATCTCTAATTGTCCTCAAACTGAGTGGCTTGCTAGGCCATTTCAGAGTGCAGTTAAGAGTCAACTACATTATTGTGGTTCTGGAGTCACATGTTGGTCAGGCTACATAAAGGTTGGCAAATTTCCTTCCCATTAGTAAGGCAACCAGGCATTTAAAATGGTTTAATTTTCAGATTTTTATTGAATTCAAATATCACTATTCACCATAGTGAGATGTGAATCTATTTCTCCAAAGTATTAATCAGGGATTCTGGATTATGAGACCTGTGATATTAGTACTAATCCCCAGTACATTCAGACCTGGGTCATTTAAATGGTCAGGAAAGTGTAATCTGAAGCATCTAGATTTCTACAATGCATTTCCAGAAGGCACAGTCCCCAGCACAAAGTCAACTCCTAACATCAGAATGTAAATTAAAGATCAACAGGAAAAACACAAAAGCTTTATGCACTGATCTAAATATACTGACTTGACCACATTTGGAGCCTTCTGTGGTCTAATTAGCACACTACAGGAAGGCACATAGACTCTGAGATGGATTCAGAGCCAGCAGTGAGGTTGCACATTGTAAATCTCATACTTCTTTCCCGAACAAGTCAAGCAGATGAATTACAGGGAAGAAAAAATATATTAGATTGAGCCTAGGAAGAAGGCAGGACCTTTTCAATGTATAAATTATTAAATGCTGTAGATGAAGTCAACCCAGAATATTGCAAGTAATTTCAGGAAGTTAGATCAGATCACACACATTTGTAGTGGTGCAAAGTTGTTTTGAGGCAGATTTTAAGCAGACTTTTACATTGAAAGGAGAATGTCAAGCATATACAATATTCTACAAGCCACATATTATGTAAAAACTGAAAGAACTGCAAGTGCTGTAAATCAGAAACAAAAACAGAAGTTGCTGGAAAAGCTCAGCAGGTCTGGCAGCATCTGTGAGGAGAAACCAAAGTTAACATTTCGGGTCTGGTGACTCTTCCTCAGAACCCAGATAATATGTTAGTAATCATTGCAAATGAAGTTGAAGGGTGAAATTGGAGAAGATCCAAAAGGCCATTATGTGAAATGACATGTCTTGTTCATTACTCTTATCCTTCCATGATAGATATTTAGAGTAAGGTCAAGGTACATACAAAAAGTAACTAGGTGATTTCCCTGTGACGTATATACATCACAGGGAAAACACAATAATTTTTGCGTTCATCTCCAATTACTTTCAGTCTCTTCCTGCTCTGGCATTTATATATTTAGACCTGAATTTCCAGTTCGGTATTTGGTAGTAACATGGCATTGGGTGTTTGCTACTTGATAGTGAATTGAATGATAATAACAATTGAGTGGTTCCTATAACAGGTGGGTAATTTGCAACATCCCATCTTACAAAGGGGCATTTGTGGTACAGTAGTAATGTCCCTACATCTGCATCAGAAACCCTAGGTTCAACCTAGGGGAGGTGATGGCTTACTGGTATTATTGCTGGACTGTTAATCCAAGAGATCCAGGTAATGTGCTGGGATCCCAGATTAATGGCAGATGGTGGAATTAGAATTCAATTTTTAAAAAATCTGGAATATGATGTTAGGGTTCGGATCATCTAATGATGACTATGATTTCACTGCCAATTGTTGGGAACACCCTTCTGGTTCACTCATGTCCTTCAGGGAGGGAAATTGCCATCCTTACCTGGTCAGGCCTACCTGTGACTCCAGACCCACAGCAATGTGGTTAGCTCTTAACTGCCCTCTGGGATGGGCAATAAATCCTGGCCTAGCCAGTGTCACCTTCATCCCATGACTGAATAAAAAGTGTCCCACCTGCTCTAGAGGTGTGTAATAACATTTCTGTAACAGATTGATCAGAAAATGTCTTCATTTGTAAATGAAAAGGCAATTTATTTACATGATTCCTTGTCACATAAGAATTAGATCAGCTGTTTTATTCCTGAATTGGAAAGTGAAAATCTACCTTGCAGTAAGAACACCCCTGATCATCCACTGTTTATCACCTCCAAACAAGCATACTCTTTCTTTCTCTTTCTTTTAGGTAATGGACAGAAAATAACATTAGGTGGAGGTGCTAGTATTGGGCTGGGGTGGACAAAGTCAGAGGTCACACCACACCAGGTGCACCTGATAAAGGGGCTGCGCTTGGAAAGCTTGTGTGATTCCAAATAAACCTGTTGGACTATAACCTGGTGTCGGACAATTTGTCATTAGATACAGCTGGGAGGAATAGAGAAAAATTCAGAAATAAGAGCAGGAAGTACTGGAGAATCTCAGCAAGTCCGACAGCAACCGTGGAGAGAGAAACAGAATTAATGCTTTGAGTGCAGTACGACTCTCGTTAAGGATGTCCCAGTTTCAAATCATCCATTCATTTGTTGTAAAACAAAACTATCAATCTTTCAAATGGTGTCAAATTGCTGCAATTAATAGAAAAGAAAATGCTTCACACAGCTAACAAGTGTTGTCCTAATATGACGCCTCAGAATAGTGGAAACGCATTATTCTCAAAAAAAAAAGACATTAAAAAGTTGATCAGTGTGAAATTGCACTGCATATATTTTCAAATCAATCTGTTCAGAGACGCACCTCTGTAATTGTACTGTATAACCGGTACAAATCAAAACCACCTTATCAAGACAAATGCTCGCTTCGTGGCACACGGAACTTTTCGCCTATTTTTTTCAGCAGTAGAGTCTTACCCTGCTCACTTTCAAAGTAGACCAAGAATTTCCTCCGATCTTTGTGCGCTTTGATCTCACATTCCCCTCCACCGGATCTCTTTTTGCTTTGGAAATAAATGGCGAGTTTACTTTTGACAGAGTCCAGCTCGACAGGCAGACCCTCCACTAACACTGGGAACCCTGCCATCCCTTCTCCTGCTCCTCGGCCTTCTGTGTTCATGCAGCTCTACACTTTGTTATCTCAGATTTTCCAGCATCTGCAATTTCTATTATCCCTTCTGGCTTGGCTGGGCTGAAATCACAGCTTCAACCTTGCGTCCTGTCAACACTGTCTGTTGGGGAAAGACTAGGGAGGATGTGAGACACCTCTGAGGGTGAACGGTCTTTACAGCTCCACTCGTCCTCTGGTCATTGCTCGGAAACGTACTTCCGTGATGAGAATCGAAAGTGAAAGATTATAGAACTAATCGTGTGACTGACTTTATAATGGCGAGAGCCAATATGTATTTAAAAATAACCAATGTCACCCTGGAAATTGTTGAATCGGCTCAGGTTCCAGCTTTCCGGTTGGCTCCTGTCTGGTTGTCAAAGGGATGGTCATGGCTGCCAGTTGTCCACTTTACTCACAGAGCCGAAACTCAACAACAACTTGCATTTACATGGCGCACTTTAATGCAGTGAACTGTCCCAATGCGCCTCACAAGGAAGTGAAATTGGTGACCGATGGAGACAATATGAAGAGAGGTGACTAAAAATGTAGGTTTAGGAAGCTTGAAAGAAGAGACAAATTTGGACATGGGATGTAGGCGTCACTGAATGGGCTAGCATGCATTCCCTCATTGCTTCTTGACCTGAGTAACTTGCTGGGGCCATTTCAGAGGGCAATTAACAGTCAACCACATGGTTGTATGTCTGGAGTCACATGTCGGCCAGACCAGCCAAGATAGTCATAGACTCATAGAGCTGTACAGCATGGAAACAGGCCTTTCGGTCCAACTGGTCCGTGCCTACCAGATATCCTAAATTAATCCAGTTCTATCTGTCAGCATTTAGCCCATATCCCTCTAAAACCTTCTTATTCATGTCAGATTTCCTTCCCTAAAGGATATTAGCCAAGTACATAGGATTTTCCTGACAACTAACAGTAGTTACATGGTCACCGTTATTTTTCATTCCACATTTTTATTTAATTCAAATGTTAACATCTGGCATGGTGAGATTCAAACTCCTGTGCCCACAACATTAGTCGGGGATTCCGGATTACTAACACTACCACTACACCACTGCCTCCCCAAAGGGCAATTTAGATGAGTATCCTGTTACTGATAGTGGAGCTATTTCAATCTGTAATTCTTCTGAAAACAAGAATTCAAGGAAGACAAAGGTTTCACAGAATTGTAAGACCAGGGGCACCCATGGAGGTGTTTGAAAGCAACCATAATAAGTTAAAAATCACCGGCAGGGACCCTATGTAAGTTAACCCGTGCTAAGGTCTTGATGCGGGTAAAAGACTGAACACCTTATCATTGCCTTCCACCTCCTGTGTTCTTGCTTTGAATCACAGAACTCCTACAGTATGGAAGCAGACCATTTGGCCCATCAGATCCACACTGACCATCTGAGGAGCATCCCACCCCCTACCCTATCCCTGCATTTCCCACCCTAGACACTATGGGCAATTTAGCATGGCCAATCCACCTAACCTGCACATCTTTGGACTGTGGAAGGAAATCCACACAGATATAGGGAGAACATGCAAACTCCACACAGACTGTTGCCCAAGGCTGAAATTGAACCCAGGTCCACTGGTGATATGAGGCAGCAGTGCTAACCACCGTGCCACCAGGGCACTGCTGGATTAAGAGGTTAAAATGGAAGAACTTCATCCCTTCAGGATTAAGGAGGCAGAGAAAGAGGTAGCTTCAGGAGCATTCCAAGGCGACTGTGTCGATGCTAAGTTTAACCTTAGGCTAGTCATATGTAAACAAGATACCAGAATGGGTAATGTGCGGTTCTAGCAAAAAACAAAGAATAACACAAAAGCCTCCAACATTTCACAGAATTTTTTCAACTCATAGGAGGCCAATGACCTATCATACCTGCGTTGGCTCTCTGAATGAGTGATGTACACTCCCCCACTTTAAAACAATTCCTCCAAACCTATGAAATCAGAAGCTTCTTCGAATCTCTCAGTGGTGAAAAGTTGTCATACACCAATATAATTAACGTCAAGTGGTGTATTTGTTCTCTTAGTTAGGCAAACATTCTTCGGAGTTCTGTGAAGTCTGCTTCTTGAGTAATGCTAGACTGATCACTGGTATTTGGCTTTGGAGCTGTTTGAACTTCTTCAATGTACTGTAGATGTTTGAGGATGAAGCATCACTTCTGCGTGCATTTGAGAAATGTTTGTTTCTAATAATGCACACTGTTCCACAAAGTATTGGTCTCTCTACTCCAAATATACTCACAGCATTCCCTTAATTTTGAGTGGTGGTCTGCCTGCATCATGTAATACTCCATTAGAAAGTTGTAGCTTCATTCTCCTCAGCTAATGGATTTTCTCAACTAATAAGGTTAGAGTTGGAGTTCGAATTAGAATTAGATGTTATTGTCACATGTATTCAATTATTGGGATGCAGGAGTACAGTGAAAAGTGCACAATGTCACCATTCCAGGTGACATCTTAGGTACCCACGTACAAAATCTGAGGCAAAGTAGAAAAATAAGGAGATAAAGCTAAAAGTTCAACATTGTAGTCCTTCTTAGTGTAAAGTAGAAAAATAAAAAAAAGTTAAATGTTCAACATTGAAGTCCTTCTTAAGTGCTTAGCCATGCTGGGCTACTCCCCACAAGGGTTTGATCTCCTCCAGATTGGGCTCAATCTCCCCATGCTCGTCACTGTCACAGCAACAGGGGGACCTCTATTGCTGCTGCACTGGGCTCGATCTCCCCCCGTGCTGGGCTCATTCTCCTCTATGTTAGGCTTGCTCTCCTCCAATTTGCACTCACTCTGTTGCTCTCCCCCACACTCTCTCATTGTATCCCACACTGGTTTGCCTTCCTCCACCGAAGATATGTAGAAGGTAAGTAAGTAAGAAGGTGATTTGCCCCTGTGTCAATAAGACCATAAGACATTGGATAATAAACTACCTCCAATACCACGGGACAAAAACAAAGTTGCTGGAAAAGCTCAGCAAGTCTGGCAGCATCTGTGGAGGAGAAGACAGAGTTAACGTTTCGGGTCCGGTGACCCTTCCTCAGAAC